TTCTCAATAATACTAATTTGCCCTTTTCAGGATCTTCACCCACATAATTACTCTTGGGGATAATCAAGACATCAATATTCACTGAGCATCAGGATATTTAGGATGAATTATTAAGTAACGTAACAAATTTTAAATGAACCCAAGGCTTTTTACCAGAAATTAAGAAGGTTGCATGGACCTGCTCCCTACTCTTAATCTGGTAATGTACCTACAGCCTCCGTATTGAAAAATCCTTCGTCTAGTTTTCTCCACTTCGTAGCCTCGTCACAAAATATAAACTCGAAGCATTATACTATGAGGTTTGAGTATTTTCATGAAATCTATCTTTTCTTGGAAGTTAAAGATATATTAGATATGATAACAAACAACAATCTATTAGTGTTGTATTCAACATTGAAATGTAACACATTTCAAAGAAAGGCTTAGAAAAAGGAAATATTTTTCATGAGAAAAGATGTTCCTCATAAGCAACAAGGACATTAAAAAGATATAGTATTCTTATTTTTCATGAGAAGTGTGGCCTATACAACCATTGATTATGTACAATTTTGAATTCATCAAAGCAAAATTATCTTGGTATGAATGTAATATCCTTTTAAGGAAAATGTGGGAACCTCTTTAAATTTTGAAAATAAAGAGAGCTTAGCATTAAAAAGGGAAAATTATTGATTGCTATTCTAGAGGATTTGACCGGTCCCCACTTTGATGGTGGTGCCATGAATCTTGTCCTTGTAAACATTTTTGTTAAGCATCTACGGTAACAATCATAAACCATTTAGAATGATCTTAAAAAACAAAGCTTGGTTGTGAGTTACAAAATAGATTCAGTAAAATAGTCAAACTGTTTCTACAGTGCAATTGCCGATCCATAGGTCAAAACAGAAGAAGTATGTTCCACGCTTTTAATGATATAATTAATGTTATTATGAAAGAATTCGGTGATGTGAAATAGAGCCGTCCAATCTTATTTGCTAAAGGAAATAACTTCCCAAATAATGGTTTAAATGAAGACTAACCAAGAACCAAGCAAAATTTATTTAGTCCAAACTTTTGAAACTATTTTTGTTTTGTAGAAAATATTTTGATTAAAGAGAGTTGTATGCCCAAGATCAAGTATTGTCTTAGGTTTAGTAGGACAATTCCCATTTAAATATATTGAGTTTATTGTTGGAGCTATTATGAAAAATAATAAAAAAAAGATAAAGTTTTGTTAATTTTTTTCATAGTAATTCTAGGAATGTATCATATCTAAGATAGTAGCATAGCTAACTACATACATAAGCATTAATTTGTTGAAAATTTCAATAAAAGAAGTAAATTTGAGTTTTCAATCGATGATCCAATCATTTTACTTACAAAAAGAGTAAATGGAAAGCAAAAATCTTGAATTTACTACTTGAGATTATAATATGAGATTTTTAATAGACAAGCAATCTTAGCTAAATCGAAAAAAAACTTTACTAGTGTGTGTAGTTATGAAGCTTTTTTGGTAAGAAATCTGTCAAGTATTAAAAAAGTTAAACTTTGCCAAAAAAAGATGTCATTCACAAAAAATCAAACAGCATAATTCTCCTCTTGTTTCATACATTTGAAAATGCCTCTTCCAAAATTATCAATAATAGTGCTAGAGAATTTATGCTTGAAAATAGTGAAAAATAAGGAAAAATTAGAAAACTTGATCCCAATTCATTGGCACAATTAGACTTATCAAAGATCTATTTATCAATGATGATAGAGAAGTGGATATTCTTAATACATGCCCAAAATTATCTTTGGAAAAAGAAAATTTTTTATATGCTTATAAAGAAAGGCCTTATTGTTAAAATAATCCAATGCCCTTTTGAGCTTAAGTACTAAGCAGTTGTTCCTCTCTCTTGAAACTAAATTTAATAAACAAATTTCAAAAGAAAGAATAACATTATTAGAGATGTCCCATATTTTATAACCTAAATTAGTACCTCTATATTAGACCAAATCTTATGCAAATACACGCTCATTGAACTCTTCCTTCATGTGAACAACTCGCATCTGCCTTTGCCCCTCTTCGATCATGCAAATAACATAGCTTTCTCTCTCTTTTTACTGCTTTTATTCACGATATACAGGTCAACCCCTAGGGCATGTCTCTAGTTCTCTTATTCGTGCCATCCTCCTCCACCGTTGTCGAGTCTCTTAGTCCAACCATTTCCATTATCCTTAGGATCTAACTAAGGGCCATCCTCTTCTTTGTGATCAATTGTAGCCACCAACATTGAACATCAAATTTTCTTCTTTATTAATAGAGAATAATTTTAGCAAGTTTTTCTTCTCTATTGATTGAGAGGTGCCTTCATCTCCTTCCCCTTTTTCTTTTTTTCATGCTCAATATTGTAACTTCATTATTCATGTTCCCCACACAAGTGGATAAGAAGAATTTAGTTTCAAATAAATTTATATTAGGCTTGTATTCTTTGATTGTGTACTATTTATATTAAATTTGGATTGTTGAAATTATATTTATGTATAAGTATTTTACACATTTAAGTCTTTTAATCATAAAGAGTAGCCTTGTAGAGATAATTTATTTAATATTATTTGACTTTAATATATTGTAACTTAGGTTGTTTAAGCTTGGCTAAGAAAATTTTGTGCATGCATGTAAACATGGATATATTAGGCCATATGTTTTTTGTGTTCGATATTTTAATATATTTTTAAATATTAAATTAATATTTTTTTATTAGGACCTTTAAGCAAAGTTTCATTTAACATTATCAAATGAAATTTGAATATATTTAATAGTTTGTATTTCTCATTTTTAAGAAAAATAAAAGTTATCTACTAAACAAACCATTTTTTTATTAGAATTTTTTCCTTGATATCTATATTTTCTTAAATTCTTAGATATTTGTAGGTCACTAGTCGATGCCGTTGATTTTTTTATTTTTATTTTTATATTTATATTGAAATAGTAAATAGTGTGGATATGTTCGCTCTAATTTATCATTGCTCAAAGTTCTATAGATTGAATGGATTCCTATATCTATAATATTTATTTTTCATGCACATTTCCTTTATTAAATGCCAAGGATTTGATTCATACAAATCATTTTTGAAATATATAAATACTATTGGTTATATTAATTATAATACTCCTACTAACTATTTGCTTGTGAAGAGTGAAATATACAATATAATTATAATAATTTATGTGTTGTTATTAAGACCCTTTGATGATAGTTAGATGGACCAATGGATCCTTAAATAAATGATTAGATTTTTATGAGATTGTTGCTTACGTTTAGTGTCATGGTATATATTATTTATAAATATGCATATTTGGAATTTTATATTTAAAAATTTCAAGCAGAGATAAACAACTGATGAGTCATGTGTACATAGATTAGTACAATTGATGTTGTGGCATACAATGTTAGCATAGAAATACATGCTTATAATTTGTAATTTTATTATTATTAATTACTTTGTAATTGTTTTATTTGCTCTTTTATCAATATTTCATTAATTAAACTTAAACTTTACTTTGGCACCGCTTTTTGTCATGACCACGCCCACGACATGGAATTAGCCAAGACGGGTACAGACGGTCAGACAATGGAAATTAATTTCTTTCTTAGTTATTTTCTATAACTAACATTTAAGAGATGAAGGAACCACTATAAAAAAAGATTAAATTAAAATATTTATAAATTTACTTTAGGACACGTTGTCCGCATGTTTGATAAATATATTTTTTTTTATCGCCCATTTTTTAATCAGTTAATTAAACATGAAATGTTAGGATAAAAAAAACAGTGAGTTAATTAAAGCCAATTATTACTTACACTCCTAGACTACACTAAAATAATGAAAGCGAAAATAATATGTATGTTAATTAAGCTTTTGAAAAATAAGTATAAAATATTGGATAGTTTATTATGAATATGATCACTACTAATATTTCATAATAATCAATGTGTTTTACTATATTAATAACATGTCAATATCATTTAATACTCGTACGACCATCGCAAGAGCATCATCAAAAAATTTTATCGGTCAAGATACTTCAATATCAATATTTTTTTCTATTTATGTTCATGGGCACCTTAGCATTCACCTACTTTCACCATAAAAGCGTAACTTCATTATATTCAATCATACCTATGCAATAGATATATGTAGCTCATATTATTCACAATTTCATATCACTCAAAATGTAATATTTAATAATATAATGCATAAAATATTTCATAATGTGGGACTACGGGTATTCATATAAAAAATGATCAATAAAATTTAAGAATAGAAGAATTAATTTAATTAATCAAGCATTGTAATAATTAATGCAATTGGTTTTGAAGAAATACAAAAATGATACTATAATTTAAGAGTACCTAGAAGTACTCAACTTTATTGTCATATCTTTCTTCTTTTAAATAAGTAATTTATTTCATAATATGTATAATAGATTCATTGATTAAAATAAATAAACCCTAACAAGTTTCTCAGTTATATGGATCTTTCTGCAAAAATATTGATCTCTATCTCCCTCTAATTCGGAACCTGAATAGCTTTGATCATGATATCTAATGCACTTAAAGTGCTTAATTTCTCTGAATGGCGTGAGCAAGTTCAGTTTTAACTTGGTGTTCTGGATCTTGATTTGACACTCACAATTGAGAAGCCCCCTGCTCATACTGATTCTAGCAG